TCCCTACACAGCTAAACACGGGCAGGACTTTGTCATCCCTCAAGGCTTGATCCGAGTTGCTGTAAATTCACCTGTTCAGCATCCTCTGGTCTTGGTAGGAGCTGGTCCAAACCCTCCGTGGGAAGCTCACCACCTCCTACAGCGTGGTCTTGCAAGTACCCCGAGACCCCACATTTGGGGCCAAATATGAAGGAAGTGGGTGACTCCCTTGATCATTTGCAGTCAGATGCTTTGCCCAGGCAGAGCAAAGCCTTGGGGGGGTTATAGTGGGATTTCTGTGGGTCCTCACTTACATATGGGGAAGGTTTTGTTAAGCAATCAAGTGTTTCTTTACTAATCTCAGTATACACACAGTGTATTTTCTGTATAAGATGCATATTGATGATGCTCAATACCATGCATAAATATTTTCTTCCTGCTGTAGCTCTGAATTTGGACACCATGCTCTGGAGTGTAACCTCCACTGTAACTGCCCCGAGAAAGCCTACAACCCCATCTGCGGCTCTAATGCCATCGAATACATCTCGCCCTGTTCCGCCAGCTGCAGGGTTGTAAATATCGACGCCGACAACTCGGTCCTGGTGAGTCATTCCCACTGAGCTAGAGTGCTGGCTGGGGATGGCTAATGAGGGATGACCAATGCAGAGCTCAAGTCTGGCAATTAAGTTTTCTGATGTTTGTTAGTGTTGGACAAGCTCTCCGTGACCCTGTGGGGTGAGCAAGGGAAGGTCGAGAACAGCCCTTGCCAGTACAGGTCCTTGGCCAAGGCAGCAAGCAGGAACTTTTTAGGTACCTGACTTCTTAGGATGTTAAGTTGTCCTTCTCCATCCACTGCTCCACGCCAGGTCAGATTTTGCTCCACAAAACCCAACTTCAGTATCTCCCTTGCTACCCAGCAGCTTGAGTGGACTTTTTGCATGGAGGATGCAAGGACCTTCTGCTTTCCCTTCCCACCTAAACGATGACCAGCAAGGTCACCTTTCTTAGTGATGTTTCCTGTGGTGGGACAGGAGGATGTGAAGTATGGGAAGGACTAATCACAGCACCTGGGATCACCCCAAATCCATGAATAATCTTGTATTCAAGGGATACTTTCTCCAAGGGGTGAGTCAGCCCACCTCCAGGCTCCTGCTGTGAATTACCCCATCCATGTTCCTTGAACCGGGACCTACAGGCTCCCAGTTTGGGCATCACATGCTTGAAGCTCTCCAAAACTGGATGGAGTCTGATGACCTCCATGGTCCCTTCCAACTCAAGCTATTCTATGATTCTATTTCCAGTTTTTCCAGAGCTGTGAAAGCAAAATATCGATGCGGGGGGTACACATTGTCACATACCTTGATGTCTTGCAGCAGCTATCGCCCAGACTGCTCACCCGATACTACTTGCTTGGGCTTGACCTAAAACACTGCTCAAAGCCTAGAATGAGCTGTTTATTTGTTTATTTTTGCTGAACATCGTATGCTCTGGGCAAGCCAAGCCTGGAGGGACCATTGCCCCAGGGCGCACAGCACTGACATTTACCTGACTTTCACTTCATGCTCTGGGAGGCTCCCGTCAGAACAATGTTATTCCACCTTTCAGCCTGCAGATTTGCAGGTTAAAAAGTCACGATCTAGTTGCAAGGTACATCCTCTCTGTAAGCACCACTTGTCAAGCCAAGCGTCTCCATGCGAGGATAATTCAGTGGGAGAGCCCTGATGCGGGGGCTAGAGAAATGGGTTTTGCTCTTGGCTTTCCCTTCGTTTGCAGACCTGGCCAGGTTATTTTGCTGCCATGTGCTTCTCTTGCCTGTGCTGCTCCCTGTATGTCATGGAAACCCCAGCAGGTCCAAGTTTTCCCAGTGCCAGTTGTCTGTTGGGTCTTCAGGCAATACAGTTCAACAAATAGTGAGGAAATCTTGGCCAATTCACAACCCAACCTGAAAAATGTTAGCAGTCCATACAGGGTGAGTCGTTTTCCTCTGTGTTCTTGGCACAGGATATGATGGCAGCATGGGACTGCCTGGGCACTTTGAAGCAGCATTTTGTTAATTAACAACGCTTCATTTTAATAACAATGATGTTTTCTGCCAAAGCTTGGTCCCAAATGTGCTTTTCTGCATCCCCGTGCCTGCCTCTTGTACAGCAGATCCTTTCCAACTGCTGCTTCCTCCCCAAAGATGCCTCCAGCCCTTTGACATCCCGTGTTCCTGAACACAACCCACTCCTGCACTCATTAAACGTCTCATTATGTGTAGCCACACGCTACAGCAAAGTCCGGGCTCCCTTGATGCTCCTGTGCAAATGCTACTTTGTAAAGCCAGCGTTAGCTCTTCCTTTAGCGCTGAGATAATTTGCTGAACCTTCTTTCCACCTATTGATGCATCTTGACCCAATTTAAGGTGTGTGAGAGCTTCTTCCGCGCAGGGACTATCTCAGGATGTTGTTATAAAATGCCAAACCATGTGCCAGCACATCATAGCCGGAGCACGTGGCATCTCCCTGGGATGGGGGAGCTCATGGCACGCAGTGATGTGGCTGCAGATACGGAGCTCTGCTCTGCTATCCTGCTGGACCAGGAGCTGAGCTCAGGTATCTGCAGAGTCAGACACTCAGTCCCTCTCTGGTTTTGGGTATTACCTGGTGCAGGAAAGGAAAAACGAGACTCTTGCATTTCATGGCATCCCTCTACCTCCTGCTTTCTCTGCTCTTTTACATTTTTCTTACTATTTTCAGCCGCTCTTTGCCAATACAGGGGCCTGCTGCCTAATGCATTTCATGTCCCAAACATCCTAGAAACCCTCCCAACGTGCAGAAAAACCTGCAATTTTCTGCTCAGCTTTGCCCAGAGGAGGTTTGCACAGTGCAATCTTGGCTTTAACACTCTCGTTGGAAAGCTCTTGTACACTGAAAGCAATTGGCTCTTCGCATCACCCGATGTCCCCAAATTTCACGGGCAACAGCAGGAGCCTGCAAACTGTGCCCAAGAGCAGGACCTTGCAGGGACAACCTTTTTGTGCTTTTCTGTTTGTTCAGGTCCAGAGTGATCTGTTGAAATGAGGTGGCCATGGGGCTCCTGGGACTGCGGGAATTTCCATGCCATGGGGCTCCTGGGGTCTGAGCCCCGCTCTGCTTTCATCGTGCGTGGCCATGGGTGGGAGCAGCGACCTTTGCTGGGTCAACACACACCCCAAAATTTGGGATGCTGGAAGGTCCCAGCTGGGGGGGAAAAAAAAAGTAGAAATAAGACAACATCAGGCAGAGTTTGACGTGAGCAGCTTTCTCTCTTAAGAAAACAGTTGTTAAATGGTACTGTTGGGGATGTTTGACGCACAGTCCCAAAAACCCCGGGGATGGCTGCCTGTCCCTGCATGGAAACCACATGGTTGTTGTCCTCTCCCCACTTCGCTGGGTGGTTTTCCCCAGCCCCGGTGCTGCGTCAGCCTCGTGGCACTGCTGCCCAGATGATGCATCTCACGGAGACGGGCCACTGGCAGCTTTGTGGCTTGTCACCACTGCTCAGAGGTTTTTGCAGACAGAGTGATGCTCCCTCCTCTAAGATCCTCCAACATTTTGAATGAAAGGGGCAGAGCCCTGCTTTGTGCCTCCATTGTGTGCATCTCCAGCCCTTTGTCTGTGTTTGGCTTTGCACGAGTCCCCTTGATGTTGTGACTCCGATTCTCTGTCAAAGGTGGCGGTCACACAGATCGAGCAAGTTTAAATTTATCTAATTGCGTTTTTGTTAACTGCTCTGGCCCAAATTAATCTCAGCTATTGCAGGTACTTATCTGTGACGGGTCCTCCGGAGACCCACCTCTCCCTCCGTGGCTGCAGAAGGAGCCCAGATGATGTGTTTGGTTTAGTTCATTTCAGATGGCTGAAGAAGATAAATCCCTTAATTTAAAATATTAAATCCTCTTTCTTAGAGGTGGGAGGAGGGATTGTGTCCCCTTTCATGCCAAATCTCTCCCAGCGCTCTGAGCCAGCAGCAGATCCATGTAGGTGTCTTTTATGGGCATCAGCCGTGCCACTTCCTCCATTTTATTTAAAGGTTTCTTACCAAAAAAAGTCATTTCTTGTTTTCAAAAAGAGAATTGTTGCTAAAATCTGGAGAAAAAGAAAAAAAAAATCCATATCCCTTGCCCTGAGGCATCCTTCCTGTGCTAGCACTGTGCTGGTTATTTATGACCCTCTCTCAAAGGTGAGGTTTTGCATTTTCCCCTAGCACGTGTTTTCTCATTTAATACTCCCCGGAGCTTGGACCCTGGCTTTGGTTGCCAGCTCTGCTCTACACACAGCAGGAGACAAGCTGGGTACCAGTGCTGGAGTCCAGGCTGCTCCCCTGGAGATTTCCTCCAAAAGATGTAACACAGGCCAGTAAGCTCACATCAGGCTCAAAGGTTTTATCAGCTGTGGGGGAGATTTTTCCATGCCAAGGGTCCAGATTTATGCAGGATGCCAAAGCGTT